ACCAGTGTAAACCCAAGAGTCTCCCTCCAAGCTCCCTCTTCATAGGCCCCTACAGCAGTTCATTTCCGCAGGGGGAACTGCCTCGTTGGAAGACGCCCGTCCCTGAAACATGTCACAACATTGTTCTCGGGATTCCAACCCCACGGATCAACCTGATTGTTGCGTCCTCACGATCCAGAATCGTGCCAGAACGCCATTCCTGGGACTTCAACTCCGCGAATCAACATAACTGTGGTGCCCTCATAATCCTGAATTCTTCCACAACGCCATTTCTGGCACGTTGATCATGGGAATTCGCGAGGCTCTTGCAATCTAAACAAAACGAATGTGCGCGGCGTTAAGACGAAATCCAGACTTTGAAAAGGAGCCGCCCTCAATCCGTGAAGCTCTTGCAAATTTTAAGAATGTGCGCGGCGCTGAGGCGAGAGTCACATTTTGAAAGAAACCGCCCTCAATCCGCCAAGCCCTTGCACATTCTTAAAACGAATGTGCGCGGCGCTAAGGCGAGAGCCACATTTTGAAAACGGGTCGCCCTCAATCCGCGAAGCTCTTGCGAATTCTGAGAACGAATCTGCGCGTCGCTAAGGCGAGAGCCACATTTTGAAAAGGACCCGCCCTCAATCTGCTCTTGCAATTTGTTTAGAGAATGTGTGCGCGTCCCTAAGGCGAGAGCCACAGTTGGAAAACGACCCGCCCTCCATCTGTGAAGCCGCTGCTACGCTTTACGATCCAGGTCATAAGCGATGAGGAAGTCTCAGGCGACACGCCCAGCCCGCCCGAAAAACTAGCCTCGGGGTGAGACAGGGAGAAGTTGTTTATAAGGAAGGAGAAGGAGGAGGAGGAGGAGGAGGGGGAGGAGAAGGAGAAGGAGGAGGAGGAGGAGGAGGGAGAAGACAGACGATGATGATGATGGTGATGATGATGATGATGATGATGATGATGATGATGATGATGATGATGACGATGATGATGATGATGACGATGATGATGATGATGATGCTGATGATGATGATGATGGTGATGATGATGATGCTTTTGATGATGATGATGATGATGATGATAATGATGATGAGGATGAGGATGAGGATGAGGATGAGGATGAGGATGATGATGAGGATTAGGATTAGGATTAGGATGAGGATGAGGATGAGGATGATGATGAGGATGAGGATGAGGATGGGGATGGGGATGGGGATGGGGATGGGGATGAGGATGAGGATGATGAGGTGAGGATGAGGATGATGAGAGGATGATGATGATGATGATGATGATGATGATGATGATGATGATGATGATGTGAGATGATGGATGAATGATGATGATGATGAATGATGATGATGATGATGATGATGATGATGAGATGATGATGATGCATGATGATGATGATGATGAGAGATGCTGAGGAGGAGGAGAGGAGGAGGAGGAGGAGGAGGAGGAGGAGGAGGAGGAGGACGAAAGGTGCCTGTGGGGTCTTGCTGAGAGCGTCTTGGGGGTCTCTGTGGGAACTCTTGGGGGCCTCTTGGGGGCCTTTTGGGGGTCCTCTTGGGGGCCTCTGCGGGTCTCCTGTGGTCCTGGGAGCTTCCTGGGAGCCTCTTAGTGGCCTCTGAGGGGCGATCTCGGGGGCCTCTTTTGGCGCTCGAGGGCCGCCTCGGAGGTCTATGGGGCCGTTTTGCTGCCGTCTGGGGGGCCTCATGGGCAGTCTTGCGGGCATCTTGGGGTGATCTTGGGGGCCTATGGGCTCGTCATGGAGCGCCGGAAGCCAGACCAACAACGAGAACGTCCAACTCATCGAAACAGCTAATGACGACATTTTTGGTGTTATGATTTCGGCCTCCTGGATGTCTTCTTGGAGGCCTCTTCGGGGCCTCTGGGGCCGTCTCGGGCTATTTTGGGCCCATCTCGAGCCGTCACGGGTGCATCTTGGGCTGTCCTGGAAACATGTTGTGAACTTCTTGGCCGAAAATGACCCATCTTGAAGGCCATCTTGGCCGTCTTGGGGCCGTCTTGCTCGGGAAGATCAATGGAGGATGCAGCTCGCGAAACTTTATGGGTGGCCAGCGGGTTGGGCCAGAGGCCCCTGGGAAATTCTAAAAAGGGCCCACACCATTCAGACATTTGGCACGCCGTGCACTTTTGTGACAGGCACAGGGGCAGCGGATCGAAGACGCCTACGGCGAATCACCGCCGCCCACTGCCTTTTTGGAAGCGCCTATGTGGCTGAAAGTTGGGCTAGAGCTATCCGACCATGAGGAGAAAAAAGGAAAAGGCAGTATGAGGAGGAGGAGGAGGAGGAGGAGGAGGAGGAGGAGGAGGAGGAGTTGGAAGGGGAGGAGTTGGAAGAGGAGGAGGAGGGGGAGGAGGAGGAGAAACATGATAATAAGGATAACGCCTCTTGGAATCCTCTTGGGGCACTCTTGGGATCCCCTGGGAGCTTCCTGGGGGCCTCTCGCACTTCTTGGGGGTTTTCTGGCGATCTGGGGGGGCCCTCTTGGGATCGAGAGGGCTCGAAATCAAAGCTCGAGTTTCCCATCTTAGGGCCGTTTTGGAGCCCTCTTGGGCCGTCTTGGGCGCCTCTAGTGTCGTCTTGGGACCTTCTTGAACCGTCTTGGGACCATCTTTGGGGCCGCTTCAGCCGTCTTGGAGCGATCTTGGGGGCTTCCTGGGCCGTCCTGGACGCGGTGAAAGCCCAACATGCGGATACATCGGCGCTCCGAAAGTTTTTTCCGATTTGAGAGGCACGGCGCCGCGCGAATGCAGCGCAAACGCTATGCTGGAAGGGCGCGGCAATGCATGCCCCCTGGGCAGGCGAGAGCAGCCGCGCCCCCGTGCGAACCCCGATCCCACGCGGGGCGCGTTCCCGTTGACAATGGCTTACCCGGGAAACCGTTTCTTGTGCAGGAAATTCTGGGCGGTCTGTCCATCGGCGGCTCCTTCGGACGAGTCCCAGAACCACCGTTCTAGGCTGTTTGCCCACGTTCGGTTTCTTCGGTTTAACCGTTTCTTGTGCAGGAGGTCCTGGGCGGTCTGCCCATCGGGGGCTCCTTCGGACGAGTCCCGGAACCACCGTTCTAGGCGGTTTGCCCACGTTCGGTTTCTTCGGTTTCTTCGGAGTGGGCCCGAAGACCTCGAGAACTATGTTTTTGCAAGGGGTCCTAGGCGGTTTGCACATTTTTGGGTCGTTCGAACCGGACCCGACAGTCTTGTTTGCGCAGGTCCTAATGGATTTGGCCACTTTCAGGTCGGCCGGTCAACTTTTCGGGTCGTCGCATGACCGAAACCGAAAGCTTTTCCCGAGGAGGTCCGATACCGTTTGCTCATTTTCGGGTCAGCACACCGTCTGGGATTTCAAATTGTAGATTGCGACGGGGAACCCGATCCCGCGACCCCAGGCGGGGTTAGGCTCTGCCGTTGCATTGTACTGGGCCCCTCCGGCCAAGCGGCGTGCTGGGCTGCCCATCGGCGCGCCGACTCTGCCCTCGCGACATCGCCCCCGTCCGGTCTCGGGCCCCGCGAGTCTTGTCCTGCGCGCGCCACCCTAGATGGCCGCGGCGAGCACGGTGCCGAAATTGGGAAACTTTCGGATCGGCGCAGTATGTTGACCACTTTTTCTTCCTAGGGGAATGCGTCGATGTTTGTCTTTTGGTGTGCTTTCGGGGCCATTTTGAGGCGTGTACTGGGTTCGTTTGGCCGTCTTGAGGCTACGATGGGCCGTCTTGAAGCTGTCTTGGACCGCTGCGGGGCCTTCTTTGGCTATCGGCTCGTCTTAGAGTGGCTGAGGAATTCCGGTGAGACCCCAGGAACTCCCAGGAACTCCCCAAGAGTTCCCGGGAAATCCTGGGAGTGGGTGGGAAATTGGGGTTCCAGGCCCTGAGAACCTGACAGCCCCTCTACCTTTCAGGGCTGCAGGACTGCGCGAGCCTTGGGGCACTCCGTGACCCATCGGCCGTTGAAAATCGGTATTTTGGGACCCCCAGTCTCCAATCTACTTTTGGCGCCTCCCTGCTTCAAGGATCGAGTGGCTTCACCTCTTTTCCGCCCTCTTTAGGGGGCGGGCGGACACCCAGTTTGTTTTCAGCGCCTTCCAGTGCATGGTTCTGCCTGCTTCTTCTGGCCGATGGGTACGTGCTCAAAGCGCGGTGGCGGATCCTGCGCAAGATCCCCTCGTCCGTCCGCGCGGGGAACAGATCGGAGCGGCAGGAGGTCCGCCTCCCCCTCGCCTCCGCCCCTCCTCCGGCGCTGCACCTTCTTGTCCGCGGAGCAGGCGCCTGGGGCCGGGCTCTCATCCTGCGCTTCCTCTTGTTCGCGCTCCTGGAGCTCCGTCGGGCACGTCCCTTTGCGGGAGGAGCCTCCAAGGATGGTTGGGGGACGATTTTCCTGCAGTTCTTTTTGGGCGTTTTTGGGAGCATTTCTGGACTGTTCTCGATTTTTCATCGCGCGGCAACTTGTTGCACGTGTCGGAAAACAGGGTCCCAGTCAGGCCTTGGGTCACGAAGTGAGGGGAGATACACAATGGAAGGAATCACGTGTGGATGTGAGCGTGGGGATTGCTGGGCACGCGAGCCTTCGGGTCGAGGCCTGGGGGGCCCTCCGCATGTGGGAGGACATGCCCGACCCAATCCTGACCCACTCGGGAGGATTTCCAATATCTGCCCGTGGGAGGACATGCCCGGCCCAGTCCTGGAGCCGGGGTAGCGGCCTCCCGCGGCCGATCCGCGTCCTGCTCCGCGGCCGCCGCGGTGTTTTTTATGCCGCGCCGCCCAGATCCCACGCCCTCCCCAGGTCGCCTCTTCGCCCCGCTCCGCCTCCTCCTCCTCCTCCTCCTCGTCTTCCTCCTCCTCCTCCTCCTCCTCCTCCTCCTCCTCCTCCTCCTCCTCCCTCCTCCTCCTCCTCCCTCCTCTCCTCCCTCCCCTCCCCCTCTCCCCCTCCCCCTCTCTCCTCCCTCCCTCCTCCTCCTCCTCCTCCTCCTCCTCCTCCTCCTCCTCCTCCCCCTCCTCCTCGAGGAGCTGCTGGAGATGGAGGAGAAAGCCTTGAAGAAGGCGCAGGCCCGCGCGCGCCGGCCGCTGAACCCCTACGAGGAGCGGCGTGTGCGGCGGCAGGTCCCGCCGGGACCCAGAACCTACCCAGCTGGAGGGCAAGGGAGAAGGAGGAGGAGGAGGGAGGAACAGTATCAGCAGCTGGATCAGCATTAGGTGATATGGGTGGGCGGGGGGGGAGGGGGGGAGGGGGAAGGGGGACAAGCTAGGTGCGCTCGTGTCATATCTGACGTCCTACCCCTCCCTTCCATCCCATGGCGTAGATATCCTCTCTATTCGCACAGTTGGATGTCGAGCAGGGCAATGATCGCGAGAGGGTACGCGATGCATGGTAGAGCACGGCTCGGCATGGCTTAGAAGAGCACGGCAGAGCGTAATGTACCACAGCATGGCGTGGCATTGCGCAGTGAAGCATTACATCACAAAGCATTGCAACGTAAAACATGGCATCGCACAGCGGCGCAGAACACAGCACCGCACAGCATGTCATGGCCTGGCGCCGGGTTCCTTGGAGGGTAAGTGGATCGTCTTCGAGAGGTCTGGGCTGGTCTGGAGTCGTGGCTCCATGTCCAGCTCCTTGGGTTCCCCGAAAAGCTTCACACACAAGGCGGGGCTGATGGAGAGCACCCGCTGCCTTTGCTTTCAACATCGCCTTCTCAAAGCAGAAACGGGGCTCCCGCTTGATGCTTCCTGAAAGCGACGACGCGCCAAACTGTGGGGAAGGGGAGGGGGAGGGGGAGGGGGAGGGGGAAGGGGAGGAGGAGGGGGAGGAGGAGGAGGAGGAGGAGGAGGAGGAGGAGGAGGAGGAGGAGGAGCGGGTGGGAGGTGGGAGGAGAGGGATGATGCGAATGAGTAGGCATAGTAGGAGCAGGAGGAGGAACACCAGAAGAATGAACAACTGTTGGGAAAAAGGAGAGGGCTCCCTCCTCCGTCCACTTCTGTCAACCCTCCCCCTCGCCTCTTCCGCCTCTCCTTCACTTTCCACCCCTCCCTCCACTTTTCCTTCGCGCCCATCCCATCCCTTCTGGCTTCCTCCCGTCACCCCTCCTTCGGCCCTGGAGACCCCATAACAGCTCGCCCACGCTTTCCCCCAGAGCCCCTCAGGGCTCACCTGGAGTCTCTTCCTCCTCCTTCGCTTCTTCCTCATCCTTCCCCCTCCTCATTTTCATCCTGCTCGACCTCCTCCTCTGTCCCTCCCTTCCTCCTTCCCTCCTCCTTCCCCTTCTCTTATCCACCTTCTCCTCCATTTTCTTTTTCAATGACTCATCCCTGTCGCGCCTCGAGCCTGGTCGAAAGGGCGGGCGGGGTATTTCGCTTCAGACTTCCTTACCCTTCAAGATGCTGCAGCTTCAGAAGTGGTATCAATTTTGCAGAAGTGGTATCAGTTTCGCAGCGCCGCGCACATTCGTTTTAAAAGAGCTCAACGGTTTGAGGGCGGGCCGTCTTTCAAACTGTGCTTCTCGCCGTATCGCCGCGCACATTTGTTTTGAATGATTGCAAGGGTTTCACAGATTGAGGGCGGTTCCTTTAAATGTGGCTTTCGCCTTAGCGCCGTGCGCATTCGTTTCAAACTGTTGCAACAACTACGCGGAGTGAGGGCAGTTCCTTTTCAACATGTGGTTTTCGCCTCTCTGCCGCGCACATTGGTGTCAAACTTTGGCAGAAGATTTGCGGGTTCCCATCGTCATCGTACCAGAACAGGTGTTTTTGAACGAATCAGGATTTTCAGGGCGCAACAAACGTTGATTCGCGGTGTTGAGGTCCCAGGGGTTGTGTTCTAGCACGTTCAGAATCGTCAAGACGCAAGTTGCAGTTTGATTCGTGCGTTGGACTCCCGAGTTCTGGCACGCGTTAGGATCTTCAAACGGTTGTTTCACAACGGGGCACTTCGTTAAGTGGAATCAGCACTTTGTAAGGGCCTATGAAGAGGCAGCTTGGATGGAGGGTTGATTCCAACATCGCTGATGAGTCTTGGGTTGGTTTACGCTGGTCCTCCTCCTCCTCCTCCTCCGCTTTCTCCTGCCCCTCCTCTTCCCGTTCTCGTCTCGGGCCTGCTCACCACCACCACCACCTCCCCCCTGCTTCCCTCCTGCTTCCCGCCTTCCGGCGGGAGGTGCCCGTCCCCGTGCCGCGACTGGCGGCCCACTGCTCGCTGTGGCCCCCTGCCGCGCCCCTGCGCCCCTGGCGCCGCACCCCCGCGCGCCGTCCTCTTGCTGCGCGGCCCTCCGCCGCCGGCAGCGGCCGCCGAGGCCGCGGGCGGCGACCTGCGGCGGCGGGCCCGCGGCACGGCGGCCGACCCACCCGCGCGGACGACCGCGACGACGGACGAGCCGGGGCCCACGAGGAGTGGCGGCGGCGGCCGCGGCGCCGGACGGCGGGCGACGGCGGCGCGGGGGCGCGGCCGCGCCCGCCGCGCCAGGTCCGCTCCCAGATGGCCGGAGGCGCGGCCTCGGGCGCGGCGCTCCCG